TGAAAGGTAACGTGGCTTCAGGTTTTGCTGTAATGGTGAGACTGAATGCCAGAGATACTCTGCTTTCTCATTACCCACAATGCTTTATTGTGCTGATAATAAAAGATGCTGCTTAAAATTCAAGCCCAAGCTATATACAAGCCAAATTCCCTTATTATTTGTGTTGTGTTTGGTATTACAAGTGACATAAAGATGGTTTAAAGTATATGGGAGGATGTGCATAGATTATATACAAATACGATGCCATTTTATAAAACGGACTAGAACATTTGTAGATTTTGGTATTCGTCTTGTAACCAGTCTCCCATGGATACTGGGGGATAACTGTATTCTCAACAACAGAAACCAGTAATTGAAGGAAATATTAATTTTCCTCATACCAAGACAAACAAGCAACTCAATGAATTCCTCGGAAAAAAAGTAGAAATGCACTTATCCAATATTTGGATCAGTATCGGCACGATCCAGACCTATTTCATGCATTGAGTATCAGAAATATGTCAGATCCACGTCCGATACTTACTTATTTAGTTTTCAGCAAAAACTAAATAGCACTTTTCTGTAAAAAGATCCTATTCCTTTTTAAATTGATTTGTACAATGAATTGCTCTACAGCTCTTTCCCATTTTACATGTTTTTAGTGGCATTCAAGCTGAATGCTAGTGCTGCCACTCAGTGTTTTTGCCACTCAGTGGCTGTGCTGCTCTGCCTGTTGTGATGTCATGCGCATACCCTTTGCAGTACGAGGATCGCAAGAACATCACATAAGAGCAGCGCCGCCCCGCCCTACACGTAGAACACGCGCTGTGCATAGGGCCCCACGATCCATGGGGGGCCCCATTTTCCGCAAGGGGATGCATTCTCTGCAAATGCGCAAAGGATGTGCATCGCTGCCGTGAGGCGTGCATAGAGCACCAAGTCAGCCAATGACAGGAGAGAAGAAAAAAGAGACGAGTAATCTGACACCGCACGCATTGCCACAATGATTGACAGCACGCAGCATCTGACCAATCAGCGGTCAAATGCGCCGACAGGCAGTTGGATCCATGCAGGTGGAGAGATGGCCTCCAAACGGCAATATGAATCGGGAGCAAGTAAAAAAAAAAAACGTCAAAACAATAGGAGGCTCGTGCTTCACTTGAAGGTGGATATGTTGTTGAAATAAAAAAGAAAAACTTTGTGGCATAAGCACCCCAGCTGCTACCCTGCTAATCATGAGACAGAAGAGAGGATAATTCTGTCTAGATGTGGACTGGAGATTAAATTTTCCAGCGGCCCTGATTATCATTTATTGAATGTCTTGTTAACTGCATATACATTCACCTCTGTTGAAAAAGGAGTGGTTAATTGACCAGTTGGTGGTCGTATGTTGTCTCGGGTTTATAGCCTATCAAACTATGCTATCAATATAAGTTTTGGGCTATTTTTATGGAGGTAAAATGTCGCCATCTCTTGGTGAATTTAATTCAAAACAGTCGATAAGATAAGATAAGATAAGATAAGATAAGATAAGATAAGATAATCCTTTATTTGACTCACAATGGAGAAATTTAAAGCATTGCAACAGCAGTGTAGGAATATAGAACCTAAGTACAAAAGGTAAAAATAAGTATTTTGGAAAATACTGGAAGTATTTTAAGCTTTTAACAACAACTAGTAGGACAGCGACTTGCAATCGTTGTAAAAGAAAAAAAAGTTTTGAGAGATGGAAGTACAAGTAGCATTTAGTGGGAAAATTCCACTGAACAAAGCGCACACAATTGTGCCAGACAATGCAAGAAATATGAAGAAAGCAGTGGATGCTTAAGGACTATTCGTCACTTGTATATGCTTGCTTGGAAGATAATCCATTTGAACTGCAAAATGCCTTAAAAATGTTTAAAACAAGATGTACAAAC